GAAGCAGAAACTTTGTGAGTAATTTACTAGAGGAAAAACAAACTCTCTATCTCACACACACACACACACACACACACACACACACACACACACACACACACACGAAATAACCACACTTCATGTCCACTGCTGATAGGGAGGCAGTAGGGTTTCCAGAGGAAAAACACAGAGCAGATCTTTTCTGTCAGCTTCCTCCTTCTGAAATGTCGCTTACTGACTGAGTCGGGACTTCATGGTACAGAGGAATGTATGGCGTGAACTGAAGGTAGGAGTTTCTCTGTGTGACTGTGAGAGCCTGCAGATATACAAAAAGCTGTCCCGGGTGATGAGAGGGAAAATTAACATGAGTGCTGCAAGTAGGTGATGCAGACAGCCTAAAAAGAACTAAGTTATTCTGAGTAAAATGTGTGTTTCTGATGTGGTCACACTGAAGGGGAATCAAGTGTCAGAGAGAGCAGGGGATGCCAGGAAGGAATTGGGGTTGGGGGTGAGGAGGGGAGAAGGGGAAGCAAATGAAATACACTTTTTAATGAGAAGGGTATGTGTCTCATGCAGCTGCTTAGGCAAATGATTCCATTTCAACAATGTAAAAAATATACATGATATACATTGTTTCCCATCCCCGTAAGTCAGACCACAGAGCTTTTGATCATACCTAAATGCGCTTTGTCGGCAGGTTTGTATCTAGTTCTCATCTTTTGTTTCTCATATGGTATGTAATAAGGGCTTAGAAATTAGTACAGATAGACAGGTGTAGAATAAAAGATGTTAAGCCTTCAGGAGGAAAGCCTATCTAGATAAAGGGGAAAAAATGTTGGATCATGCTATAATTTGATGATGGTAGCTGAACAGCACAACCTCATAGAACAACAAGAATTTCAGTTTTGGAAACAATACAGGGTGGAATGAAAACAGCATCATGTCACTAACAGTAATGTAAAGAGACTTGTCCACGGCTGATAATATTCTGATGGAAAAGCAAAGGGTGAAAGAACAGTGTGAAAACCTTGCAAAATTAAATCACTAAAAAGATACAGCAGGCACCTGTGCTTCCTAGCTCCACTAGTTTTCATAGAGCCACAGAGTTTTCATAAACTTTGGACACATGTTGGGGGGCATATGCTCTCTGTAAGGGGGAGTAGAAATTTTAAAAATTCAAAGAGAAAATGACAATTTTAAAGACAGCATTTAAACTGCATATTGGCTACTGTGGTAATCTGGCATGCTGAACTGGAGTAGGCAGGAGGTGGAAGAAGAGGAAGAGGAGAGGGGAAGGAAATAACACAGGAAGTTAGCTAAAAGACCTTGGAGGGGGAGGGCTGGGGAAATCATGATTAAGATAACCAAGCTTTCTTTGTTATAATGCTACAAGAGAGTTCCAAGAGAAGGGGAAGATTAAGGAATTAAGAAATCAGCAGTTCTACTACTTTAAGGATTTGAATTGACATTTTCGTTCCAGAAGGTAGATACTTCTTTCATAAGTAATGTGAGGGATGCGTGTGTGCTCAAGTAGAGAAGCAATACACCCATACAGGCTGAGGTTAAATTTTATGCACCCTTTATTACACAAATTGAAACCGACCTGATTTATTTCCTGTCTCATATTGTTGGATGTCATTCTTTGGAATGCAAAATATTATTACAAATTTTACTTCTTTTCCACTTGTCACCTTCTAGTACAGCCACGTCTAAAGCACTTTGATACCTCAATGTGAAATTTTAGAGTGTTTTTTTTTGTTTTTAATTCTCATAGCTAACTGAAGACATCAATTTAAATTCTGCCTCTGATATTTACCAGCTATGTGACCATGGACAAGTCACTTAGCCTCAGAAAACTGTCTAAGGTTAATTTAATGGTTATATAGTGGTTGGTATCTGCAAAAGAACACTCACCATTGAATTGTTTTTATTAATGTAATACATCAATTATGTATTGAAGTAATCATGCTAATACTGGTACAATTTTGCTTGCTTTATTTTAGCAAACTGAGGTTTGTTTTATACTTGTTTTGACTGGGAAACCAAAAAGGGAGAAAGCAGCACACTTTCTATCTTGAAAGCACAAAATTTAAGATCACAGATTCACTTTAAACATATTCAGAGAGATTACAGGGCTCATCTGAAGACCCAAAGGTAACTAAAAGAAGAACTGACAGTTGAGCTCAGGTCCTCTGACACCAAGTCCGGTGTTTTTCGCCGAACCAACACACACCCTGAGCACACAAATCCTTCCCAAAAAAGTCCTAACAATTTTGAAGTGCCCTCCCCCCCCCCGGAAATGAGATTTCTACATATTCTGGTTCCAGATACTACATTTCTGCTTTTAAGTACTTGTGTGCTCCCAAAAAGCAAGTACTTATTGGAAAGGCAACACAAGTTTGTATCATGTAAGGCAGGAATCTCCCAAGCAGACCACTCATCATTTTGAAACTTTGCCTGGTCAATTTCCAAGGCAGATTGATGCTACTTTGGCCTCCTTCTCCAAGGTTCACAGGGATCCTCAAAGAGAAATTCTTCTCTGCATACCTGTAAACAACTCACTTCTAGAACCATATACCCCCTGCCCCAATCCCTATTCCAACCAACAGTGATTATAAGAAATCAAAAGTAGCTTGAAGGTTAGAGACTGATGTAAAGCACTAACAATGTGCTGTTTAGCATTTATATCGATGACTTGGATAAAGGCATCAGAGGTATCATCATCAGATCTTTAAATGATGCATAGATGGTATAACTGACACACTGGATGTCAGTGTCAGGAACCGAAAGGATCCTGACAGGTTAGAGCAGTGGACTTAATCTAAGAAGATGAAATTCAGTAGGGATAAATGAAAAGTCTTAAATTTGTGTTTGAAAAACAAATAACTTGATAGGTATAAAAAGGGGGAGACATGGTTAGGCAGCAGTTGTTCTGAAGAAGACATGGGGGTTTCAGTGGGCTGCAAACACAATGAACCATCAGTGTGGTGTAGCAGCCCCCCAAAAGCTAATGCAATCTTGGCTGCATTAAGAAGGGTATGGCTTCCAGGAAGAGCCACACTGGACTCTGCGGTCATTAGACCTCATGTGGAGTATTGTGTTCAGTTCTGGGTACCATGGTTTGAGAAGCATACTGCAAAGTGTTCAGAAGAGGACAACTGAGATAGGGATGGGCATTGAGTCCATGCTATATGAGCATCATTTGAAGGAATTGGGGGTGTTTGGCCTGGAGAAGACTCAGCAGATACGATAACTGTCTTCAAGTACTTGAAAATAAACTGTCATTAGACACGTTTTATTTATTAGACTTATTTTATTTGGCATCAGAGGGAAGAACCAGGTGGAATATGTGGAAGTGGCACATAGACCAATTAGGATTGATGTCAGGAATAACTTCCTAAAAATTGGAATTGTCCACAAGTGGAATGGGCTACCCCAAGAGGTGGTGGGATCCCCCTCCTTGGAGGTCTTGGAGCAGAAGCAGGGCTTTGGTGAGCATGTGATTGTGGGGATTCCTTTCAACTATATATTGGACTTAGATGGTCACTGAAGTCTATTCCAATTTTTAAATTCTATGATTGTGTGATCAAAGATCCATGGGCTTGCTAATATTGGGAGAATACATGGAAAACCGCTGTACTAAACTATTCCAACTGGACAGATATGGCAATGAGCAGATTAATGCAAATTGGAAACTGAGAAGGGGATAAGGAAGCTCATCCAGTTCTGTGCATGAATCAGAAGACATTTATATGACCATATCTATGCTATGTATTATAGTACAGACAGGAGTAGGTTAGGGGTTTCAGGCTAGCTAATGAGGCTGTGGTAGAAGTAGCTAGGTGGTGAAGTGGGTAGAGTGCTGGAGTCCAGAAGATCCATCATCCTGAGTTCAAATCCAGCCTCAGACACTTACTAGTTGTGACCCTGGGTAAGTCACTTAACACTATTTACCTCAGTTTCTTCATCTGTAAAATAAGCTAGAGAAGGACATAGCAAACTACCCCAGTGTCTTTGCAAAGAAAACACCAGATTGGGTCAAAGAGTTGGACGCAACTGAAATGATTGGACAATAACAACAATGAGGCTGTGGAAGGCAAGGCTGAAGGTTGTCATACAAAGAATAATTTCATTGTTTCAAAGAATTATATCTGAAAATGATCTCAGAGGTTATCTATTCCAATTCCTTCATCTTATAGATAAAGAAAATGAAGCCTATGCAAGTTAAGTGACTTGCTAAGGGTCATCCAAGCAGTAGTGTCAGAAGCAGAATTTGAATTCAGGTCTTTTAACTGTAATCAACATTCTTTCCATAGTACCTTAGAGACTCCCCTATTCTGATTAAGGGCAGGACACTCTTCCCATTCCCTGCTCATCCATTTCTTGTCTATTAGGCAAAGGCAGGTCTATCCTGCTATGAGTATGACTTTTCTAATGAGGAAAACCTACCCCTGCCCTAAAATGCTACTTAGAAACATCTTAGGAGAGATGCAGTCCAAGACCTTTGCTTCATTTTCTATTCCTGGAAATGACTGCATCATGTACTGCCTCACCCGTTCTAAGCTGACTATACATCAGTCAGGGTAGCACCCATCCCCTGACTGAGATGTAGGAAAAGGTTTGAAGAAGCCTTTTAAAAGCTTCCGGATGAGCATCCTGAATGAATTATCCATTACTCAGATTTCATTCAGAAATTACATTAGAGAGAGACTCACCAGGGCCAGTAAAATTATTACATCATAAAGTTTCTGGTCATAACCAGCCCTGTTTGGGACTAATAAGACAGCAGTCATTTTGATGGTTTATTACCCTTCCATGAAAAACACACAGAGAAAGAGACTGAATCCTCAAGAGACTCTTCCTTTTGAAATGTGGCAATGGCTTGCTTTTGTTTTTGTGATAGTTTAAGGCACGTGGCTTTTTCTTCTAGCCCTGCCATCCCAGATGTCTAAGACATGCCTAGGGACAATACATCTGGAGATGTGTTGCAAACTAATTTGCTATTACTTCTTTCTTTACAGAACAGCTGGAAGTCTTCAGAAAAACCACCCCTGACTGGTTCACTATGTGGAGCTGCGACACTTTCAATGGTACCCAGAACAGTGAGGACCAACTCCTCTGCCAGGACTTCCACCTCATCCTCTCCATATTCTCCCTCCTCTACCTCATTATCTGCTTCCCAATTGGCCTCTGTTACAATGCTCTGCTGGTCCTGGTCAATCTGTACAACAAGGCCACTATGACAATGCCTGATGTCTATTTTGTGAACATTGCTATTGCTGGCCTCATAATCAATGCTGTGGCACCAATATACCTTCTTGGACCAGCCACCAGCAAGTGGGCCATCTGGAGCTTTACCAGTGAAGTTTATATCACGCTGCTGATTTTGTTTAATGTTTCCTCCCTGGTTATCATGTATTCCACCACCTTGCTCAGCCTGGATTACTACATTGAGCGAGCTCTACCCCGGACTTACATGTCTAGTGTGTATAACACCAAGCACGTCTGTGGGTTCATTTGGGGAGGGGCAATGCTTACAAGCTTTTCCTCTCTGCTCTTCTACATCTGTAGCCATGTGTCCACTAAGCTCATTGAGTGCTCCAAGATGCAAAACAAGGAGGCGGCCGATGCCATCATGGTGTTTATTGGGTATGTTGTCCCTGCCATTGCTGTACTTTATGCACTTGTGTTGATTTTACGAATACGGAAGGAGGCCACACCCCTCGATCACGATACTGGAAGACTGGACCCTTCTGTGCACAGGCTTCTGATTGCCACAGTGTGTACACAATTTGTGCTGTGGACACCTTACTATCTAACTCTCCTGGTAAACACATTCCTTGTCTCACAAGGAAAACTCATGGATGAGCACTACATGCGGATATTGCATTTCATCAACAATTTGTCAAAATTCTTAGCTTTCTCTAGCAGTTTTGTGATGCCACTTCTCTACCGCTACATCAACAAAAATTTTCCTGGCAAGCTACGACAGCTGATTAAAAAAATGCACTGTGGGCATCAGAGGTGCTCTCATGACCGAGCAACAGTACAGCAGGTGATGACGTAGGAAAAAAGAAACTCTTGTGGAGCGCAAGCATTGTGGGCGTGGGCCTTGCCACATCAGCACAATCCTGCTGCTTCTTACCAAGAACTTTTTTAGAAGCTCTTCGCATTGATACTGGAAGGGAGCTGCTATTCTTACTGACCAAGGGATGCTTGTTCTAACAGAGGTGGCACAGTAATACTAACAGAAACCTCAGGCAGGTCAGAGAAGCTGGCATTTGAGAGCACTTTCAAAGCACTGAGTCAGTAAGCTTGAGTTCTTCCCAGTTTTAATAATCCTGGGTAGAGAAATGACTAAAAGGTAAAGTGAAGTCTTGATTGGCTGTAAAGCACTTTGTTACCTGTCCAAGAAAAGGATGATGCTATGTTTTCTTCCTTAGAAAAAGATGCAATAATTCTAAATGGTATAGTCGTAGTACTCTTCTCGACATGCCCTGTCTGCCCTTACCAGGATGGTCAATCTCTGGCCAAGGTAATGCTGATCAAAGGAACAGGCTGTCCAAACAGTCTGAAGTGAAATATAAGCTACAATATTATTAACTTATCTCTTTTTTTTCCCCTTAAAATGTGTGTATTTTGCCTAAATGTGCATTTTGTCATTGAAGTAATTTGCTCATTTTAAACCTTTTCCAAATTAGGCTTTTTCTAAATGAAGTAACAAGAATTTGGAAATCTAGTATTTATACTATGCTTGCTTACATTATGAAAATACTTGATTCTTCACTTTCTTCTTGATTTTTTTTAAAAGGAAGCACAGATATTTAGTAGAAATCCACTAAGTATTAAAATGGAGGAAATAAATGATGGTGGAATGTACTTTTTAAAAAATTTAAAAAAAAAACCCAACTACCTAAGGTCCACATGTTCATGAAACTCAATTGTCATTGTCTCTTTCCTTTTTGTGTTAAATGTTGCATAGGAAAATCTTATGGCACTTTATGCCAACAGTGACATTACTAAAACTTCTTAAAATGAGTAAGAATATCTATCTATCTATCTATCTATCTATCTATCTATGCCTGGTTTTAAGCCGTGGAATAATCTAGGAGTATTAAAGGAATTGTTAATTCTTACACATCGTAACATACTTAAATCCTTCTCACTGCCATGGGGACAGTGAGCAGGGCTGATTTTCTACTTTCTAATTCTCAATCACTACAAAGTTAGTTTCCAGGTCCAAAGCTATTTTTAAAAAGTGGAATGAAAAGAAACTATAAAAGTTATAAAATGTAGTTAGCTGGGTTGGAGGGTGCTGCATAAGAGTGATGTGAAGATCTGTTCTGGTAAAATGTAGCATGATGCTGTAGAGAGAAGGGGGGACAGGATATCTGAACAACCACATAGGAATGAACAATTTGACTCCTTAAGTCATCCCTGAGACTTCATAATGATTAAAAATTTACATTTGTAAAACTCCTCATTACTTATTTGAATTGAAAGGTAACCTAAGATTGACTATGTATTCATCCGAAGTGGCCATATAAAAGTAAAAGCAACTTCTATATTAAAGATAAGGTGAATACAAAGAAAATCCATATGTGTGAGTTATTTTTCGAAAGGAACACTTGTGAATAAAGCCAGAGCCACTGAGGATCACAGGCTTAGCGCTGGAAAGGACCTTAGAAGTCATCTAGTCCAATTATACCGCTTCCCCTCCTTCCCTACATTTTAAAGATTAGGAAACTCAGACCCAAAGAGGTTATGACTTGCCTGAGGACACACACATAGCAAATGGCAGGATGTAAATGACAATGATAAGAAAACACCAACGTAGTTTTATTGCCTGAAGAAACCTTCTACTACCATCTACACTATCTACCCATCCACGAGTTGAGCTTTAGACAAAGCTCAGCCAAAATGTTTTTTTTTCCAAAATATTTTTGCATCATTCAACCTTTCCTTTTCTTTGGAAACAGCGCCTATTGAAAAAAAAATGTGTCAGTGAAGAAAAACCCAGGTGCTGATCATTGATTCAGTTCTCTATGCTATCCTGACACCATTCCTTTGCCTATTCCTTTCCATTAAATGATTATCAGGTCTTTTCTAAACCTACAGCTCATCCTTTTCTGACCCAGTTCTTCATGAGAACTTGGGCATTAGGCTGCAACATTACAAACAGCTACTTTTTCCCTCAAGGCCTCATCAGACCTCAGATTGCCCAAAGAATGACTTTGAGGTTACACTTTGCTTGTAAGAGCCATTACCTGGATCGATCTCTTTCAAGGGTCCCAGATTTTAAGACTGTGTAAAACAGCAAACCTGACTTCTTTCCCAACCGACCCAGACACACTTTACCAGACTTAGAAAACTGAATTAAATGTTCTTTTTTCAGAGAGACAGATTCCTAGGCTAGAGTATACAGCTTTCTCCAATAATATATCACACTAGATGCTAATGAAGAACAACTGCATTTCCCTAAGATCTTGGCCAGTATTTGGCCACAGCATCATTTTAAATGTGAACATAGGCAGATATCAAAAGTCTCTTCCTAAGTGTCTCCAAGTACTCATCTGAGCCCATCCACTTGAAATCTGGTTTCTAATCATTATTTCATTGCAGGAAAGAGGGAGAAGATAAGGAAGTGTAGACTTGTTTTCTTCTTTCTTTAAAGCAGGGGTTCTTAATATTTTTGTCTTGTTCTTAATATTTTTTGTCATGGACCCCTTTGGCAGTCTAGAGAAATCTCTTTCTCAGAATAATATTTTTTCAGTGTATAACATAAAATAAAGAGGATTAACAAAGCAAATTAATTACATTGAAATTGAGTTATCAAAATATATCATATAAAAAAGCCCCAAGCTCACAGATGCCAAATGAAGACCTCTGTTTTAAAGTCTCCTCCTATTTCCATGTTCTTTGAGCCTTGAGTTTTTCATATGGAACAAAAAGCTCCAGGAAGAGGGCCATGAACTCTTCTTTCATGAAAGCATGGGCCTATAATCACAAACGGTACCTCTCTTTTTCTAATCAAATAGTCCTTTCCCAGAATGGGGAATGAAATTTTCCATAGAAAGTGGTCTTCCTCAAACTCACAGGTTTGCCCTTCGATCAAGTTTTTCATCTCAGTTTCTCAACGGTTAACAAACTTTCTATGCAAATTACAGGATTTTTATTTCATGCATTATTTCCATCCCCTTGAAAGAATAATATTTCTGGATAGTCTCTTCCTCGCAGTCTACTTGCCCTCTCATCTTCCCACATATAAGCTGCACTGTCTGGATACTTCCAAATGCACCCTTTTCCTGCCCCCTACCCTTACCCCAACTTGAGGAAGTAGTATTGTTAGCACTAACATATCATGCCCATTATCTGGGTCATCATTCCCAACTTTCAAACCAGTAACCTCAGCAACACCCTAACCTGGATGGAGTAATTAATGCAATGCCAGCAGCCAGACCAATGCTTTCCTTTGATCGCAGAGGTGACGTTAGAAGCATCCACAATTATAAACTGCATCTTCGGAATGTAGCTTCATTAAAGTTGGTTTTAAGCACTCTTTTTTGTGGCCCATTCCACTTCTTATTCCACATCCCTGGGGAATCTCACCCCATCATTTTGCAAAAGTAAACCTTCTGTCCCATTTCTTAATCTCTCTCTGTTCTTTTCTTTTCCACTGAGAGCAGGTCCCCCGCTGCTATGCTTCACACACCACCAGTCTTTTATCAGCCCTCTCCAGATTTGAAGACATCTTTTACTGTTAATTCTAACATACTGCATAATTTGGTTTTCACATCTCATTGGCGAATCTATTTTCTTGTGGTTTCCTCTCTAAATTCATCTTTGATGCAACCTGGCTGATTTGCATTTTTCTTGCCTCGGCTGTATTTTTTATTTCTGACATTTTAGCTATATTGCCATAAATGAAGAAAGACTTAAAGAACATGTTTTGGAAAATCCAAGGTGAACTGTGAATTTAAACATATTTCTTCCACTTACTTTATAAGACAAACAGGATCCCATTTTTAGTCTTTGGCTTTGGTGGCACTACTGCTGACAAAACTTTTTGCTTACAATCTTGCAGTTGCTGGGTTTCCTACTAGCAATTCTATGATTGTTATTAGTGGTAAGAGAGTTCAGATTTTAAAAAAATCTTTCTTACCTTGCAGTTCTTTATGCAAAGTAAACTTAATCTTAGGTTTGTTCCATCAATACTATAGATTTTTAAAAATTGGTTAGGATCAGCAAAATGCACCTATGAATGAAGTGTATGAAATTCACACATGAGAGTGTATGCATGAGAATACAAAATCACATTTAATTTGAAGTGGTAATCATGGAAAAATTAACCATGGTTTATAGCAAAGAAGGTATGATCATATGTTGAGTTTTTGAATAGATGCTAAAAACCAGCTGTAAGAATCAAAGCCTTCCCATTTCAAACCTGAACTTCCCTGATTTTTCTGTAAATATGAGCCAATCTCTTTAGTATCCATATAAGTACTGTATATATGAAGAAAAACCTACTGATGTACAAAGGCACATGTGAAGAATCTGTTTATTAAATTATTTCCTAAAACTGAGATATGTTTGTAACTCTTTAACATTAACATTTTTGAATGCTTAAAGTGTACTGTATATATTTCTGTGTGTATATGCTGTATGAGAAAATCATCACAGAAAGTGCCATTATTAACAGTATTTTCCTCTTTACAGATTTAAATTTAGATATATTTTGTGTTGATTTACTCCTTTGTAGTTCTTCCATTTAGACAGATGCCTTTATGTAAAATAAATAAATACATAAATAAAGTCGTTCAAGTTTACCCATACCTCTGTGATTCCTATAGCTGCATGTTAGACCGATGAAGCATTCAATCTGAATACTTGTTTGATAAAGCAGGCAAGCAAACTTTAGAAGGGGGCAGGGAAGAAGGAGGTAACAGGCCAGCTAAGAAGCAGCCTTACCACTACTCTATTAGAAAAGGTTTTTTTTCTAAACACTAAAAATTATTTATTGAACATGATGTCAAGGGAAAGAATTAAACTTAATTTCAACACATCCATTTCATGTTCAATGAGAAAGCATAATGTAAGGAACAACCATGATTTGTGTTTAGTTATACAATCTCATAGAATATTTGAATGTATAGAAAATTTTGAACCTTTAGGATTAAGTTGGTAAACAAATATTTATTGAATGTCTCTTATGTACTGTAGTGGGAGGGGTCCAATATGCAGCGTGCCACCATCTCATAAACAGAACTTTGCATGGAGTCCATACTATGGACTCAAGGAGATCAATTGCAGTCTCCCCCCCTCAATTTGCTTCAGAAACAAAGGTAGGTGATTCTAATTAAATTAAATTAAAATATAATGCATTAGTCTGCTATTACATAAAATCATAGGTTTAAAGTTGTAAAGGACTTTTTTGTCTCCTAAAATGGGATATCTTTTATCTAACTATTATGGATGCTGGTAGAGTTCATGTAAAATTCTTAGAAGGAAAATACAATAGCAAGTGACTCATTTTCTCTTTTGACTGATAGAATAAGTGGTGCTGATCACACTGGAAAGGATGGAGATGGACCATTAGCCAGTTTCATCCTCAAAATCTTTGATGTTTGTATTTGTATGTCACAGGAGGAATAAAATAAATTTTCTAAGAATTTCATGCCTACAGCTAAGCAAATGTACACAAGTGTGTATACACTCTCTCTCTCTCTCTCTCTCTCTCTCTCTCTCTCTCTCTCTCTCTCTCTCTTCTCTCTCTCTCTCTCTCTCTCTCTCTCTCTTTATCTTTGCCAGGAATAAGCTTACTGGAAGAGAGTCTGCAGTATGTCTTTTTTTGGGTGGGAGTCTTCCAAAAAACATTCAAG